CTGTTCACATTTAGGTTTATGATCCATTTTAAATAATACTTTGGGTATGGGTATAAGTTGGGGTCAGCTTTTATTATTTTCCAGATGACAGATTTGTTCCAGCACTAGTTAGTGAAAAGGCCTCCTTTCCCCCACACCACTTGCAGTGGAGACTGTTATAAACAAGAGACTGTACATGTATGGGTCTGTTTCTGGATTTTCTAATCCAGCCCATTAATACCTAAACTTGTGCCAATATCACACTGTCTTAATTCCTGTAGTTTTATAATAAATGTGGATATCTGGTAATGTACATTCTTCAGCTTTATTCTTTACTATTGGCTTGGCCATTCCAGGCCCTTGGCAATTCTACATATACTTGAGACTCACCTTGTCAACCCCAACGATATGCTGGGGTTTTAGCTGGGATTCACTAAGCCTATGGATTAATTTGGGGAGAACTGACATTTAAACAATATTAAGTCTTTCAATCCATGAACATGGCATGTCTCTGGGGAGGAACTTCTAGGCAGAGGAGAGAGTAAGTACAAAGGCAGATGGATAAGAAACCATATGGCTTATGGAATATGAGAAGCTACGAAGCAGTTCAATGACGTAAAAGTGCAAAGCATGGAATGCAGAAAATGAGGCTAAAGAAAGTCTGATGTGCATTCATACAGAAGATTCAAGCAGCAATGGATTTGAATAGGTTTGAATGGCTTTCAAAGGGGACAAAAGTGTAGGTGGCACAATAGGAGACCATTCCAGGAGTTTAGGTGAGATATGATGAAGATCTGAACTTGGACAATGGCAATAAAGTGGAGAAGAAATGGATTCATATTTTATTGGTAAAATCTGCAGGACTTGGTGACTGGATGTTGTGGGGTTGATGGGAGATGCTAAAAGTCAAAGATGGCTCCCAGCTTCCTGACCTGTATCTGGGTAGATGGTGGTACAAGAAATATGGGGTAAGAGTACACTTGGAAGAAAAGATGTTGAGTAGGTTGAGTTTGGGATGTCTATGGGGCTCCCAAGTAAGGAGTACCTGACACAGAGGAGATATTTGTTGAACTGAACATTAACAACAACTGGGGGCTCTTGAGGAAAAATATGTGCTATTCTTTTCTATAAGCCCCAACAACTAGCTGCTTATCATCTTTACAGTAATAAATTTTTTCACCAGCGTAAGCCCCCCCAAAATCAAAACCACCACTTACCCTTGCTGTTTTTAGTCCATCCATTACCTTGTCATGTAATCTTTCTTTTTCAAAAATTACGCATATCCTGTACAACTAAAATATTTTCACTTTTCAGATGTGGAATCTTTCAAGAGGGGGTTCAGCTACTTTAAAAAATAGTGAAAGGTGGGGGGGGATGCCCAGGTGGCTCAGTGGGTTAAGCATCTGACTCCTGGTTTTGGCTCAGGTCATGATCTCAGGGTGGTGAAATGGAGCCACAAGTCAGGCTCAGTGCTCAGCAGGGGGTCTGCTTCTCTCCTTCTGCCCTGCCCCCAGCTCGTGCTTTCTCTTTAAAAATAAATAAATCTTGAAAAAAAAAAAATAAAGGGGCACGCCTGAGTGGCTCAGTCAGTTGGGCTTCTGACTCTTGATTTCGGCTGGGGTTGTGATCTCCAGATCATGGGATCGAGCCCTGTATCAGGCTCCAGACTCAGCAGAGTCTGCTTGGGGTTCTCTCTCTCTCCTTCTCCCTCTGTGCACCGCGCCCTCCCTGCCCCCAGCTCTCATGCATGCAGGTACACTCTCTCTCTCAATAAATAAATAAAATCTTAAAAATAAATTTAAAAAATTAAAAACATAAGAAATAGTGAAAGGGTTAAAAAAAAAACTTTTAGGGGCGCCTGGGTGGCTCAGTTGGTTAAGCGACTGCCTTCGGCTCAGGTCATGATCCTGGACTCCCAGGATCGAGTCCCGCATCAGGGTCCCTGCTCAGCAGGGAGTCTGCTTCTTCCTCTGACCCTCCCCTGTCTCATGCTCTATCTCATTCTCTCTCTCAAATAAATAAATAAAATCTTAAAAAAAAAAAAAAAACTTTTAAAGAGGTGAGATGGGGCACCTGGGTGGCTCAGTCCATTAAGCAGTTAAGCTTAAGTGTCTGCCTTTGTCTCAGATCATGATCCCTGCTCAAAGGGGAGCCTGCTTCTCCCTCTCTGCCGCTCCCCCTGCTTATGCTCTCTCGCTCGCTCTCTCCTTCTCTCTCTCAAATAAATAAATACAATCTTAAAAAAAAAATAAAAAGGGGGAGATAATAAAACCCATAATAAAAGGGGAGATAATAAGCTTAGTCATGTGACAAAAAGAGCCCTGGAAATAAATATAAACATGCTGTCCTATTAGTGAGAGTTAAATTAGTCAGAGTCTTTGAAAAATAAAAGATAAAACTTAGTTCAAAATTCTGTAGTTTTACTAAATCTCTTTAGCTGCAACTTGTGATTTTATAGATTGGAGTGGTTTTAGAACTGGTCTGAAGTCTGCAACTGGGACAGACTGTTGTTTGGTCCAGAACTCTTCAGTAAACAAACATTATTATCCCCTATTAAGTTCAAGAGGTGCCTAAAACCAATCAGTTTCTGGGGGTGAAATATAAATAAATACACGCAAAATATTCTCCATTCCTATTTGTCATTCACCTTCCTAATGGATTCTTAAAAATCTCTCCTCAGTTCTCCCTTACAGCTCTAACACTGGGGGGTTGTAAGGGTAAATACAAGTTTAAAAAACTAAATTAAAAAATTTCCCTGGTCCCAAAAAGGACAAGACACTTCACCTCCTTTCTTTTCATTCAGCAATTCCTTTAGAAAAATCAAAATTGTAAATGATTTATCTCTTTGAGATGTATGTGCACCTTTAAAAAAGCTAAGTAAGCCTCGCGCCAGTTTTGAATCCCCCTAAGGTCCTTCTTGGGGGCCTTGAATTTACCTCTTTGAAATGGAAGTATCAAGGAGGACGGTGCCCCACCTCCACCTCCCTGTCTTTGTGGGAGTTTAAACCTCAGCTTTTGGTTTCCAGCTGTAACTTCGTATTATTTTTTCCTTTGGATAAAGACAGCAGGTCTGTCATGGATTGTATCTGCCTGCTACATAAACAAATGAGATTTTTTTTTTTTTGTCTTTATAATCTCTTCAGTGCATCACAGCATGTTTTAATGCTTATTCAATAATAAAGTTGTTTCATTGTTTTCTACTCTTCGTGGAGGGTTTTTATATTAGGAGATTTTATTTTTAATTATTCACCCAACTGGGTCCTCCAGTTTTCGCGCTTATATAGCTGGCTGATAATCCCCATTCCCTCTCCACACTTGTTTTAGGCAGTAAGGTATAGTGGAAAGAGCATGGAGTTAGACAATCCTGGATTAAAACTGTGCTTTTCTTGTTACCAGAACTTAACTTCTCTGAAGTATTACCTTTATTATTTTTTCTCTGAAGTATTACTTAATTCTCAGAACCCCTATTACATCATCTATAAAATTAGAATGTTATAAATGAGGTAAATAAACTGACACACAGGAGATTCTTAGCCCATGAAAGAAGCAAAGTTATACTAGAGTCCCTCAACACACTGAACTTTCTTTCGTTCCACTCCCCCTTTCCTCGTGGGTATCTGTCAAATCCTAAAACAGCGTTTCCTTCACTAATCCTGAGCACACAGCGTCATAAGGCAACGAACTGGAAGGGCGGATCTTAAGAGTTTAAAAAGTTTTCGTAGGTAAACTACGTAAGGTTGACAGAACCTTCGTAGTTCAGACAAAATGGGGGAAAATCAGACTGCGGGGGTCCCCAAATGCAAATCCGTGAATTACAAATGAACACAGGGGCCAGCGGCTTCCTCACTTCCCCTGCGGGGCGCACCGGGACGTCGGAGCGGCGCCGCCGACCGGTGCGGGGGCGAAGATTTGCATGTACGAAATTGGGAAGAGGGGGAACCACCCATCGAAAACCCCGAGCCGCCGTCCGCCGGGGCCCGGGAGAGCCAGCCCCACTTCGCCGCCCGGTCCGCCCCCAAGTGCTCCCAGGCGGCCGGCCCCCTGGACGGCAGCGCACCCTCCCACCCGCTCCTGAACTTTAAACCACGCGCCTAAGAACAACCTGGAGGAGGGGGATTTCTCCGGAGTCGGCGGCTTTCGCACGCTCAGGACAGTCACCGCCCGGCTCCCAGCGTTCCCTGCGCTCCCGAAGATCCCGCCTCCCGCTGCCGGGACCCAGTCTCAAAGCCCAGGGCGGCAGGGGCGGGGCGCGGGGCACGGACGGGGCGGGGCGCGGGGGGGGCCTACGTCAGCCGCGGGAAATCCCCCTCCCGCCAGGCTGCCTACCTCTAGGCCCGGCAGGCGCTCGGGTTTCGCGGCGCTCCGCCCCCTGCCCCTGGCTCCCGCACCTTGGACGGCGAAGCCGGGTGATCCGGAACGCGAGAATTAAGGGGGTGGGAAGGTGTGAGCCGCAGGTCCCGAGGAGGGCGGGAAGGAGGAGGAGGCCCCGGGGGTTGGTCAGGCGGACTGGGGGTCCCGCCGGCAGAGTCCCTCCGCCGCCGGACCGACGCGGGCTGATTGTGGCGGCCTCGGGTCGGACTCTTGAAGAGGGCGGCGCGGTGAGCTCAGCCATGGCCTCGGGTGAGTGTTTCAGGCGCGGGTCCGGGCCGCGGGAAGGAGCTCGTCCGGGGGTCTTGCAGTTCAGGGTGTCGGGGTCTCGGTTTCGGTTGTGTGCGTTCTGTCTTTCAAATTGTCTCACCTGGCAAATTGTTAGCCTTTAAAAAAGTTACCTGGCACGGGGTTTGCGAGCGAAATCAAAGTCACGCTCTGTATTTTGATGCCCTTATAATAGCCGGAACCTTAGAAATTCCCAACGACTTGATTTTTAGGATTACGGAAGTAACACGAATCTAAATGAGGACGGAGAGTTCTCGTATTTAAAAATTGATTTATATTGAAATGGTGGTTTTATGTTTTAGAACAGGAATGAAGAACCTTCAGACCTCAGGAGTACTCTCCTTTTTTAGTTTAATTTCATCAAGTGCCAGGAGGTGATCGCTGGATGTGTTGACAGTTGTACAAAATGTGGTGCGGCTTTAAAAGTCACCAGTGGTATAACGGGTCTTAAGTTGCTTCAACAAAGTGGCTAATTTCTACTATAAAGCGGGTACTTTCTAGTTTACGGAGAAGTCTTTTTTTTTTTCTTTGTTGGAAGAAAGGGGGAAAGGAGTATTAGAATATCCGTGCTTTAAAATAGGAGTAGAAATGAAAACTTTACATCACTAACGTAACAATTTATTTTCAGTTAACCGATGCGTAGATCTCTTGCTTTGGGGCGGAAACGAGTTTACCAAAAAACAGGTTAGAGGGCAGGGGAGGGAGTCTCATATATATAGCCGTGGTTTAGATCTGCCTGTAACCTAAAGGGAAGTAAATCAAGTAGACTGTGTTCGAGTTGGACCTTTACAGGATCCTGGCAAGGTTCACAGGGCCCTTTCTCGGCCGACGAAGCAGCGTGAGCAGAGGCAGGGAGGCCTTGTAGGGTAAGTTAGCGCTATACTAGGAGGCTGAAGGTTTTGGGGGACCTGTTTATGCTTGACCCGCGTCCTCCCAAGACCCTGGTTCAGTGACCCTCAGAGGCTGATATCTAGCTGAGAAGAGGAAGTAGAAAGCATTAAAGGATTTTTTTTTTTAAGGGGTTGAGCAGAACAATGCCATAGCTACTGCTGTAGGCCGAAAAGGAAATTGGGGTGGTTCACATGACATTTGATTTCAGTTTGTCTGTGGTTTTTTATGTGACAATACAAGTGTAGTTTAAAATATTTCAACTTTCTCTTTACCCACTTCAGTGACCCCAAACTTTCAGATAATTTTGTAAATTTATAATTTAAAAGCACGTTTAGATTAAAAGTGCAAAGATGATCTGAAATATTTGGCTAATTTATTTGATGACAGAAAGATTTTGTATGAAAATAGTAAAGAATGGTAAGGATTATAAGCATTATAAGTAAAAAAAGGTCAGACTGCTGGCAGTTTAACCAAACTTCATTGATATGTGGTATGAGTGTAATACTTCTAATTCTTTTAAAAGAGAGAAAAGAACTATTTACATAGAAGGTAAGATCCACATTATTAAAAAATGATACCATTTAAAATTTGTTTAATGGTACTATATTTTGTACTGTTGTGAGGACTGATTCCCTAAATTGAAGGGGAAAAAATTTAAAGGAATGGAAAGTTGTAGGGTAATTATCTTTTTTTTTTTTTTTTTGCCTTTTCTGGAGTTGCATTAAAATGGGACTATTTAAAATATGACAGATTATTTAAATTGTAATTCAGTTGTTTGAAAACTGCCAAGGAAATTTTTAAAAAGGAGTCTGGGAGTATTTTTCTTAATCACTTGTAAAGGCCTTAGAGAGAAAGATTAAGTAAATTATAAATTCTTATCCTGTTTTGAAACAGTAATTGAACTGAAAGAGTAATAGGAAAAAAATTTTGCTTAATTAGTTATCACTGTCTAGTTTAGATTATTTGTAGTAAGGTAGTAGTAAAACCTCAAAAAAGTATTTTTATTGATTACCAGGCACTTAAGACCATTTCTTCTTTTCTCACCGGATGTCATATGTAAATAGGTATGTGTAGCTGGATTTGTTATATGTAAAGTAACAAACGTAGAATATAAAAGTAACAGATCATAATCTCATTAGCAAAAATTTAAGTACCATGAGTAATGGGGAATTTAATATATAGATATATAAAAATTATATATATGTATATGATTCTGTAGGATTCTAAATTTTGTTCAGGTAAATTAGCAAATTATTTAGGATTTCACAGATCGGGTTCTATTAAGCTGTCTTTATGGCCTTTTTGTTTTAACACCTTGATTTCTGTCTTTTGACACAATTAATTAGAACAGGTACTGTTAAGAAAAATGTTCCCTGTCCCATGTAGGGTTTGCATGAGCAGTCACTACTCTTGTATATTTATGATTCTGTTTTGTTTAAGTAAAATTAGCTATTTTGTCTGGATTTAAAGCTTCTCATTGTTCCTGTAGAAAGTGCAAAATATTCTTATGCACAGATAGCTCTGTTTACTTGTAAGTATGGTAAAATATGTTTTAAAATTTGATAATTGATTTTTCTTCACAGTGTTCTTTAGTATAGATCTGTTGTGTCATAAAATAGGAAGTACATGAAGAAATTGTTTTTATAAACCACACTACTTCCAACTCTGTGGTGTGGATCTCAAGAGAACTATAAGTATTTCTTTTGAGTAAGGGGGAAAAATCAGTGTAATTATGATGCAACTTAATCATTAATGATAGAGCCGGAAGCTGGAATTGACAACTAAAGCAAATGACTTTTTTTAAGTAGAAGACTACACACTATAAACATGAAGGCTGTTTCCAAAATGTGGCACGTGAAAATGTAGAGACAACTACTGTATAAAAGAATTAAGGTGATATATGATAGGGTAAAGGGAATGAGTGAGTGAAATGGCTAAGGAGGAATTGTGATGAAACGATATTGGGAACATCTGGGGCGTGTGTAGTATCTTTCCCAAATACAATATAAGAGGCCTAGGATTTCCTTCTGTTCCATCCTTCTTTCATCTGTGTTCTCTGCATATGATTGGGTTTGTAGGCACATGACCCAAATACTTGCATGGGACATACTTATACTAAAAAAATTTCTTTGTTTAATTCTTTTTTTTTTTTTAAGATTTTTTATTTATTTATTTGAGAGAGAGAATGAGAGATAGAGAGCACGAGAGGGAAGAGGGTCAGAGGGAGAAGCAGATTCCCTGCTGAGCAGGGAGCCCGATGCGGGACTCGATCCCGGGACTCCAGGATCATGACCTGAGCCGAAGGCAGTCGCTTAACCAACTGAGCCACCCAGGCGCCCCTGTTTAATTCATTTTTAAGTAGGCATCCTGTAATTTTTATTTTTAAATCTGGCAGTCTTAAGATAGATGAGTTGGTACTGCCATTTATTTTTAATTTGATTAAATACCTGAGTAATCTAGGACAGCTTTTAAATATTTCTCTGCTTTTTCATTCTGGAAGTTAACATTTTTTTCAAGATTCCCTCTCTCCCCACCATAATGGAATCTCTAGCAGTAGAATCTCTGTTGTGAAGCTCTTGCATCTTTTATTTACCTTATGGTGTGTACATCAGCCAAATACTCATCTGAAAATTCCCTTACTTGGATGCTTAAGACTTGAGAATCAGCCTCCGAAATTGGAATAAATCTGGACTTTAGCCCATAATGAACCTGGTTTTATCCCAGTTCTGCCACTCTGTAATATAAAAATGGGAATAACTACTACAACATCTTGTTTTGAGGAACAACAGAGACAATTCATGCCCATAAATGTGTTTTCTTATATAGTGGAGCTGTTTGGAGACTCAGACCCCTAGGAAACAGGAGCTACTAGTGGTAGTTGGCACTCACTATTGAGTATCCTGACATTCTAGAATTCTGTGAAACCTTCAAAACTTGCAATAATAGAACAGATGCTAGATAGAAAATAGTCTTTCAAGACTTTATGAGAATGTGCATTTACTTTTAAATAATTTGGAATGGTTTTCTGTATTTTTAAGCTAGTGAAGAAAAATTTGACAGTGATGTTTGGAGGCAGTGTATCTTTTCTCCTTTGTCCACTTAAATGATAGTAAACATTCTGAAAGAAAGTAAATCAAAAATTTCTTAGATAGACCGTGTGTCCTTTTACTAATTTGATTGATATAACTTATCCTTCATTTGATTTCTTTTGCACCTTTTGTGTTAGTCTTTTTCTATCATGTGGGAATAGGCTTAAGTTTTCATTGCCCCTTTGTTAATTGAATGCCATTCTATCTATGTGAGAAATGGTAACTCTAAATTTTGATCATAATTAGGAAGAAATGGAAAAAGTGTGTCTTAAGGTAAAGAAGCTTATCACCATGATTCAGTTGGGTTCCTAGGTTTGAGGAATGATAAATAGATCTTATTTTCTTTTTCTCCAAAGTGAGTAAAAGTGATACTAAGGAAAGTATATATTGTTAGCTCCATCTGCTCCTTTGGCTCTCAGGCAGTCTGTTATCCCATACTTCTGCGAGGGAGATGCAGTCTGCAGTCAGTCTCAGCTGTGGTGTTGATACATTAGCGTGTGATCACTTGCTTGCCCTATTTTAAGAAATGTTACTGATGATAATTACAGTATTAATTTTGCAAACAATTTACCTTTTAAATAAATTGGTGTGATTGAAGGCTGTCCCTATCATAATGCTTTTTTCCCTTGCTTATATTTGGCTAAGCTTTTTAGGGTGGGAGAAAAAAGAGTTAAAGTCGTCAGAATTTAAAAAAAAAAAAGTCAGATTTTTCCTCTGCCTAGTTTGTCACCCAGCCCATACTTGTACATGAATTTTTGGATTGCTTTTCTGGATATGTGTATTGTTTCTGCTTCTTTATGTTTTAGGGCTCTGGTTCCCAATCAGGAGTGTGTTAGAATTGCTTGGAAGGCTTTCCCAGAAATATGTCGGGGCTTTAAAGATTTCTATTTCTATTCAACAGATTATAGGTGGGATCAGGGCATGTATGTTTTTTGAAAAAGCTTCCAAAGTGATTCTAGTATACACCCCCACTATGAACTCTGTTCCAGGAATTTCATTGGATCTAAATATTCACTTGCCTATTCCAAGATGCATTATCTTCTTAAACTAAGTTGTATTTATTTTAGGTTATTTGTTGTAATAAGTTATTGTGACTTTACCTCTAGCTGTTTTTATGCTTTTTTAAAAAATTTGATCAGTTGGGATCCCAGCAATCATATTTGCTAATGTCATTCATAATTTCTATTTCTTATGGCTTCATAATTTTGAAATTTATCATCTATAAAATGGGAGATAATTCCTGTTCTGTTTTTATGAAGATTAAAGTTAAGAGGATCAAATGAGAATATATGTAAAAGTACTTTAAAACAGTATTATAATTACTGTAATTAATTTTTTCCTGAACAATTAATGATGGTTCCTGGTGTTAGCCATAAAGTTTTACTTAATGTGTTTATTTCTGACAATTGAGACTCCATTTTTAACTTTTATTTCAATGTAATTTTTTAATCTTAAAAGCTCAAAGAGCATTTTTTTTTGCTTAAGTGCAAATAAAAACATAAATCTATCTTGCAAACATTTTGGCTCTATTTGAAATGTTATTCTGGTCTGTATTAGCATTTTACAATATTGTTAAAAATGTAGGGGTCAATCCCAGCTTTGCATAGTATTGGTTAAAAAAAAGTACATTGCTTAACCTTAAGCTCAACTTGCTTAACCACTTTGAAGAAATTTCAGTACTTTTCAAAACTGTAGTGATTTGAGATAATCTTAGTTAACAGTACTTATTTTCCCTACAGTTCTCTGATTTACACTTTACCTTCTTCCACTCCATACAAAACTACAGTTCCGCACTCTGTCTTCAGGAAGAATGGCACTTCAAACACAGTACTAAGGGAGGAAGTAACAGGTACATTATACTGATGTATGATGTAAATGATGTAAATGATTTATAGCTGGGAAGTATTTTTAAATCATAAGTACAGATAAATTAGACTATGAATAGGTATGAAGAGTAGAAAAGTATAGCAATTCTAATACCTACAAAGCACTATTTTTTTCCATAATAGTGGAACCTAATAAGGAAAATCTGATTAATCACTAATACGATCCTTCGATGTTTGTATAACTTACACAAACAAAAAGATTTTTAGATTTTCAGTTATTCACTCCCCAGATATTTACTGAATATCTGTGTGCACGGCACTGATGAGGAAGTCACAATTCCTGCCTTCAAGTAGCTTGATGAAATAAGGAGCTTTTTTCAAGAAGAAATAAAACAGTGAGTCTTCCCTAAATTATAGTTATTTGGAATAATTGTCATGAACAAAATACTATGATAATTTAGAGGAGGGGAGATTATTTCCAGCTGGGGGAATATGAAACATTACAATAACATATTACCTGGTTGATAATGAGTGTTTTTACCAGTAAAGAGCTTGTACAATAGGAAGAATAGATTTCAAAGGTTTTTTAAGTACTTGATATTATATGATCACTAATATTTGTCATTTTTATAACTTCACATCTTTAAAAATTCTTTTATCTTAACAACTGCTTTTCTGTTCTCTTGCCTATAGACTTTTCTTACAAATACTTTCTAGTTTAAGGAAGTGTTGTGTAACCAATGAAATATTTGAAAAATCCCTATGAGCCTAGCACTTTTATTCACACTCTTCCCTCAAAAGTTAGCCACTTACCGTTAATGATGTAATTCTCTATCAACTTCCCACCAAGACACCTTTATTTTTATTTTTTTTTAAAGATATTTATTTATTTGAGAGAGAGAGAATGAGAGAGAGAGAGCACATGAATGGGGGGAGGGTCAGAGGGAGAAGCAGACTCCCTGCCAAGCAGGGACCCTGATGCGGGACTCGATCCAGGGACTCCAGGATCATGACCTGAGCCGAAGGCAGTCGCTTAACCAACTGAGCCACCCAGGCGCCCACCAAGACACCTTTAAATAAGTAGTGGGCAGGGATTTATTTGACCTTTAGTTAAAGCACATAAATTATTTAAGATATCACTTAAAAAATACTGTTGAGTATTTCGAACTATTGAGAGGAAAATGTACTTTCTTTTAAGTACTCCTGCAATGATATATAAGGATGTGAAATATTTGAAGCTGAAATGTGAATTTGAGTTATTCATAATATACAAGGATATATAAGTATGTGACAGTGAAAAATGAAAGGCATCTGCATGCCTTACATTTTTCAGTAAAATTGAAATAAGTATTACGAACGTGATTAGGTTAAAGTCCGGTTTCCCTGGCTCTACGAGTAACTTTCCTCAGTAACCCAAAGTAGAAACTGTGGAGCCTCAGTGATTCTTTACTTGCTCCTAACCCTAATGTTCAGTCAGTCACCAGAAACTGTCAGTTTTGTTGAAATAATCCTTCACTCCTGCTACTACTACTAGATGTCAGACATGCCCTCACTGTTGCCCACAGTACTGTCACAGCCTCGAAACCGATCATCATACTCTTTCTCCTTTTTCAGTCTGTCCACTGCCACCACAGTTCTTACTCTAAAATGTCAGTCCAATCATACGATTCCCCTCCATAAAGCCATTCATTGATTCTTTGTCACTTGTGGAATAAATCAAAATCCTTAATGTCCTTTGTTTTTTTTGGTTTGTTTTTTAAGATTTTATTTATTCATTTGAGACAGAGATAGAGAGAAAGCATGAGCAGGGAGAGAGGCAGAGGGAGGAGAAGTAGGCTCCTCACTGAGCCAGGAGCCTGATGTGGGGCTCAATCCCAGGACCCTGGGATCATGACCTGAGCCAAAGGCAGACGCTTAACGATCTGAGCCACCCAGGCGCCCTCCTAATGTCCTTTGTACTTTGTACAGATTTGTACAGATTACAAATGTACTCTGGCTTTTGGTTCCAACAGTAGAAGTGTACTCCACTTCCACTGTGGCTTCGCTGGTCATTTTTAAACTCTTCCTCTTCTGTGCTGCTGTGCCTTTGGACACACTGTTCCCTTTCACTAGAAGGCCTTCCCTTCTACTCTCCTCATCTTTTTGCTTCATTAACTCTTTTTTCTTTGATTTGACACAAGCATCCCTGATTCTTTTGCTTTTACTATCATTTTATGCACAATTTTGTTAGCATAAACAAAATTTGTTTTGTTGGACTCTTCTGTAGTCTAATAATTTGTGTTGTTTGCCTCACTGTTCTATAAAATTCTTGAAAGTACCAGTTGCTACGCCATCATGGTATCACTATAAATCATTTTCAAGAAAGCATCTGAAACAATAGTAGACAACATTTATTGAGTATTTGTCATAGGTGTGATACTTGATAAGAATTGAACACACAACACACTACCTTGAACCTCACAACATGAGGTAGGTGCTATTATTATTCCCATTTCATAGATTAGGAGACTTAGAAGATACATTTCTAGGGTCCTTGCTATTAAGATATGGCTAAGTAGGACTCAAAAGGCCTCTTCCTCACACTGTACCAATAAGATCCATTGTGTTACCCTTTCTAAAGATTTGCTTGCATTCTAACAGGGGATAAGTCTTTAGTCAGAGAAATGGATTATCTAATTGTGGGAATTTAGAAATCACTAAACTGATGGAAGGAAAATGGGGTTTTTTTGAATGGAAGACATCTTCATGCCCCTGAAATAAAGACACATTGCCAAGTACCCTACTTGTAAGCACACTTGAGTGTCTTCATTGAACTTTTCATTTCTATAGTATGGATAATAAGGGTAAAGATGCATATGTTTTAGACAACTTTACTGACATATAATTAATTTATAATGCACATGCTTAAAGTTTGCAATTTGATAGCTTTTGACATATGAATACAACCTTAAAATCATCATGACAATCAAGATAATTAACATATCCATCATCCCCCTGACTTTCCCTATCCATTCCACACCTGTTCTTAGGCAATCAGTGATCTGCTTTTTTTTGATTATAGTTTACATATTCTAGAGTTTTATATAAATGGAATCCTACAGGATGTGCTCTTTTGGTCTGGCTTCTTTCAGTCAGTGTAACTTTTTTTAAATTGGGAGTATAGTTGACACATAATGTTACATTAGTTTCAGGTGTATAAGGTATACAATTCATCCATGTTGTGTAGATCAGTTCATTCTGAAGTTCCATATTTTGAATTACATCTGTTTTAGAAAGTAAGTAACTTATTTTCCTCTTTTGTGTCTTCAGTAAAGATTTAGATGGAACTGATTGAAAATTCTGTTGAGCTTAAAATGAACACTTCTGGAACTTGTTTTGTTGTTCTATGTATCAGTCCCTTAAGATTCCAATGGGGATATTAAAAAAAATATCCTTCTGCAAGGATTTAAATGCATTTTCATTTTCAATTAGCAGTCTTTTAGTCCACTGTTAAGGGTCTAATGTAAAATCAAGCAGCTCGACTCACTTTGGGAGTATGGTGGTGTACTTTTGAAGACTATCTTCTTGACCCTTCTGGGGGAATCTTGAGGGATGTCCTTGTACTTGGTCTCAACGTGAGAAGTGAATATCTCTGAAGTGGGGATCTCGGAACTTCACACTGGCATTAGTTCTTGATATTAAATGATAAAGTGCTAACCAACAAATATGATTTGAGTGACTTGTGTTAACACTGTATAGGAGCTCAGTATGAATGGGAGAAGAGGCACCTTTACCATCCAATCTTGGGTAATTATATTTCAACCTTATTATTTAATATTGAGAGGGAAAATTTTTTAGTCTGCTATTTTGAAAAAAAACCAAAATGGTCAAATCCATTATTACTGCTATCATAATCTCACCCTCCTCCTTTTTTAAATTTTCAGGTGGGTATAACCCATGTATAGAGATCATTGAACAGCCCAGGCAGAGGGGCATGCGTTTTAGATACAAATGTGAAGGGCGATCAGCAGGCAGCATTCCAGGGGAGCACAGCACAGAGAACAACCGAACATACCCATCTATCCAGGTAATAGACCATTCTCCTTTGTGTATCTAAGTCTTGATTGCTCCATATTTTATCTATAGCAATTATATTGAAAGGCCCAGTTTATTCACAGTGTGCTCTCATTTCTACTGTGGCTTACGTGTATACTTTCAACGGATATTTATGATATAACAGTGAATATAAGAGCATGGCATTCAGTGGCCCAACATCCAAGTATTTTCTCTCGCTCCGTGATAATATTTTGGTATAGCTTGTTTTAAAAAGAAAATAAGCAGAATCAAATGAAAGTAGTGCAGAAAATAATATGCCAAGGAACTGAGAGGTAAATTCTTCCCTTCTAGTATTCCCTGGAAAGTTCCATCCAAACGGTATTTGCCAGTCAGTTGGACTTTATTTATCTAGTGCTAACTACATTATATAAATTGAACTCTCATTTAGTAGGTCAGTTCTGAATGAGATCAATTTATGGATCATATATTTAATTTCCTCCTTTTTCAGATTATGAACTATTACGGAAAGGGAAAAGTGAGAATTACATTAGTAACAAAGAACGACCCATATAAACCTCATCCTCATGATTTAGTAGGAAAAGACTGCAGAGATGGCTACTATGAAGCAGAATTTGGACAAGAACGCAGACCCTTGTTGTAAGTATGCAGTCACAGACGTCTTTAGGAATAGGAGAAGCAGAGGATGCTTGGTTTCCTGTCCATGTACATCTGTTATTTCTTAGCCAAATAAAGTAATTTCTCATTCTACTTCTGTTTACTGTAGTATACATTTAAATTTTCTTACCACTTGTATTAGAACTATCCTTTTATCCTTTATTAGTAGACACAGCCCATGATGGTAGCAGGAATACTTATTTATTGCTACTAAAGGTAAACATAAACTTATTTTATGCTGTGATTTTCTTTCTTAGTGTGCACAATCTCTGAAAAGTTTTCTTTCATATATTTTTACTTTGTCCTTTCATTAATAGTTAAAAATTACCAGATATGAGAAAATCGACTGGAAACCTGGAATTATTATTTAGAAAAGGACAGGTTATAAAAGTAACATGATGGTAGTTCTAAGATAAGGAAAAGGATGTAACACTTTGGTGTTGGTGAGGCGGCCAGAAGATGGGTCCATTCATCATGTTGGTGATAGTATAAATTAATAAAATCCTTCTGTTGTAAGCACTTTAACAACTACATAGGAAAAGCCTGAAAAATATGAATGTCTCTTGAACCAGCAATTCTACTTCTAGGAATTTATCCTCAGGAAACAATTAAGCATGTTCAGACATTTAGCTATAGTTAATGTTCATTGCAGCTTAGTTTGTAATGGCAAAAAGTTAGAAGCAATCAAAATAACAAACAAGGAGGGATCAGTTAGATAAACTGGTACATCCATGCAGTGTACTCCTATGTAGCCTTAAAAATAACATTGCAAATATCTCTTTGTATAAAAATATATTCACATTATGTTAGATAAATAGGTTTTAAGACAGCATATGTGACTTAAAAAATCTTAAAAAAAATAGATGTGTACATGTACTTGGTAGTATATACACTAAGGTATTAATAGTGGTTGTCTCTTGGTGGGTAAGACTGGGGTTTTATGTTTTTCTTTTAACTTATGTTTATTCTGTGATTCATTTTTTATAATGAACATGTATTGCCTTTGGAAAAAACTGAACCTAATTACAACAAGGAAAATGTTAGTAGCCTCCTTATATATTAATAGTAACTATCTAGAAAATATACTTTAAAAATATTCCTCTTACAATTACAAGACAAAACAAAAAATATCTAGTAATACACATATGACAAGAAATATTTCCTATTTATATCATTTGACCTCCCAACACCATTTTACACTGTGAACCATTCCTTTCTTGGAACATTCTTATTTCTTGATTTCTGTGAGAACAGAGTCTCCTGTTTTATTTCCTACTTTTCTGGCTGTTCCTTCTCAATCTTAGTTATAGACAGTGAAATTCTTAGTTATGTCCAATAATGCCCTTTATGGTTCTCCTGCTTCTCCTCTCAGTCCAGGATCCTGTTAAGGATCACACATTGTATTTACTTGTCATGTTTATTTAGTTGTCATGATTAGTAAAGTCTCCTTTAATTTACAGTAGTTTCTCAGCCTTTTTTGGTCTTTCATGACATTAACATTTTTGAAGAGTCTAGGCTACTTGTTTTGAAGATTGTTGTTCAATGTGGATTAGTCTAGTTGCTCATTTATATTCATGTTACTATGAATAACATGAATAATATTTTCATGTTAACATGAAACATTTTGGATGAGAAATCTACAGAGGGGGGTGCAATGTTGTTCTCAAAATATCCCTTCAGGAGACATGGGGTATTAGTGTTTTCCATTGGTGATATTAATTGGCATTCTATTGTAAAGAAAAATTTCCCTTTTTCCCCTTCCCCATTAAAAAAAAAAAATACCACTGTAGACCCTTGGATTCGTATATTCAGTGTACTGTAGTCCATTACTGGCATTATTATTTTGATGTTCAGATTGACCCAGATTTGACCAAGGCAAGCCCCTTCCTCCTGCTCCCTGTGTCCTTTTGATATGCTTCTTTCTTAGAGCACTTCTTTACTTTCTGACACAGCAAAGTGTTCAGGACTTACTTGTACTTTTCTCGCCCCAGCCCTGAAATCAGTTTTTTCTAAGGAGCCCTGGTTCCTTTCAGTGAAGAATGGTATTTAGTCTCATTGTCTTTTTGACATATTCTCTTAAATATATGAAAAGCATCTCAAATAGAATATGCCCCAAACTCTGACTTTACCATGATCATACTTCTTTCTTAATGGGTCTTCCAATGTGCTTTATCTCGGTGGTTGCTATAAAAGCCCCCAGACATGGGTATCATCCTTGACACCTCTCACACAGGCACACACATTGAATTCATTAGCAGGTACCTCCTAAATAGTTCTTGAATCTGTGCACTTCTCTCAGTGATCTCTGTCAGCACCACACTACCCGTGGTCAAAACAAATGTAGGCTGCCAGAATAGCCTCTTGACTGGTCTTGCATCAACTCTTTTTGTACCTTTTCCCCTCAGATCTGTCCTCCACTTTAGCCAAGGTGATCTTTTTTAAAAATTAATTTATTCAGAGTGATCTTTTTTTTTTTTTAAAGATTTTATGTATTTATTTGAGAGAGAGAGAATGAGAGACAGAGAGCATGAGAGGGAGGAGGGTCAGAGGGGGAAGCAGACTCCCCGCCAAGCAGGGAGCCCGATGTGGGACTCGATCCCGGGACTCCAGGATCATGACCTGAGCCGAAGGCAGTCGCTTAACCGACTGAGCCACCCAGGCGCCCTGGAGTCATCTTTTCAAATAGAAATCTGATTGTCACATTCCCATTTAAAACATTTTAAGGGCAGTATTCCTTATTGGCCTACAGGGACCACAGGGTCTGCTTGTATGTTTAGCCCTCTGTCCTGTGCTCCCCTTGAACTCTATACTCCAGTCCCAGAGGCCTTCCTTTAGTTTCCTGTGCTCACAAGACTCTTCTGTAGGGGCCTTTGCTTGTTCTGTTCCTTCTTCCTGAAGTCTCTTTCTCTCCTCTTCCCCTCGTTCATTTCTGTTTATGTTAAGTACCACTTTGTACAGTAAGCCTCTCTGTCCTTCCTGAATTTATCAACTCCTGTTATAGGCTCCCGTGACACAGTGTATATCTCCTTTATAAAAGTTGTCATGATTTCAGTTTAGCATTTTTTGCATGTGATTATTTAATATTGATCTAAGTGCTTCCCTAGACTAGAGGTCAGCAAACTTTCTCTGTTAAGAGCCAGATAGTAAATATTTTGGGCTTTGCAGGCTATATGGTCTCTGTTGCAGCTGTTCAATTCTGTTATAGCATGAAAGCACACATAGACAATATGTAACCAAATCAGCTTGTCTGTGTTCCAAAAAATCTTTATTTAGAAAAACAGGTGGTGGGCCCGGGTATGGTCCATGGGCCACAGTTTGTAAACCTCTGCACTAGAATAAGCTCCTTGAGGAGAGGGATTGTAATGCTCATTTCTAGAGTGTTTGATACAGAGTAGGAATTCCAAAATTTTTTGAATGACTGAATCAATGAATGAATGAGTAATTGATTCAAATAATCTTCATGATCCTTGGTTTCCTCATGTCAGAATTTTAAAAATCCCTACCACTTCTAATATTCTGTGAATAGCAGTCAAATACGATTTTTCAGATGAAACAAAATTAAGTAGTGTATAAATACATTAAAATAAATAATTCTTTAAAATCTTTTGTCAAAGAAAAAGTGAGAACCAAGCTATGAATCTCAAAGAAATGGAATACTTTTGAAGAAGAGGATTATGGGTTTCAGGATTTTGAGAAACGATTATGAATTCAAGATTTATTTTTTAATTATTGGAGGTAGAAGAAAGAAGTGCCAAAGATATTTTAGGTGCTAACAAAATGACAAGTACAGTGAAGGTGCAGAACATAAACATAAGGCACCATGAGATGGAGAGGAGCAAACGAGGCAGGCAGCCTCCTGTTGCCCAAGTGCCATGTGAAGTTTGAACAAATAGTAATGTTGTTATAACCAAGTTTTGCTTCCTTATTCACACCCACCCAACTTTAATGATGTCATGGTTTTTCCATGTGGGAACAAGTATGACTGGTGGTGGTAGGGGAGTTCCCCCCACCATCATCTGTGCTACAGATATGCAAATTAGTAATATTTGTAGCTATTGAGAAGTTTTCCATAAATGACATTTTGAAACTTGTTAAATATTATTCATATTAAACATCTTTCTAATTTAAAAGAAAACATTTCAGTGCTTTCTTATGAATGATTATTATAATTTCATGTAATATAGCATAAAACATATTCCATTGCTACTAGTAGTGAAGTCAGGGCTCAAAAATCAAACGTCCGTGGAATGGATCAGGTGTTAAGAGGACTAGCAGGCACTGTAGTAAATTGGAGAGCCCTGAATAAATGGGGCTGCAGGTGCTCAGCTCCAACGAGGTGTTCTTGTATTAGGCTACTGTGGCCAGACCTTTAGAATGTTCAAGAGAAGCCAGAAATCCAGATGTTTATATGCAATTACTGGATTGTTAAATGTTAGTAGTGTGTGCGCATTTTTTTTTTTTTTAAATACAGGTGACACTTTTATGGGCTCAGCAAAACATACCTGTGGGCTCCTTTTACAACTTTTTTGTTTGGGAGGTCAGTTTTAGCTTTTTGATATTACTTCCCTGTTAATCTTCATCTATTTTGGCATATTTGACATAGGCACAGGATGTACCCTTGATTTTTGCAGTATTTTTTGGTAAAACCTCATTTATATGTCCTTGTGTTTAACTATAATACAGTTTGAAAGTTCTGTTTTCCTTCTAGTTTTCAAAATTTGGGCATTCGTTGTGTAAAGAAAAAAGAAGTAAAAGAAGCTATTATTTCAAGAATAAGGGCAGGAATCAATCCTTTCAATGGTAAGTATGTTTGACAGAATTATTTCTGTTATTTGGATATTGACCTATTTGTGCAAGTGAATTCTGTTTGTATCTTGAACCTGTGCTTTAAAAGCTGTCTTAAGTTTTGTGTTCACTTTTCTGCTTGCTGATGGATACCTGTATCCGAGGAAGGAAGAAGATTTAAAACCTTTCATAGTGTTGGGGGGAAAAATTCTCTGACAAGGCTTTCTGGTATCTGTGGAAAGGGCCATTGTTTTCTATAAGAAAACTTCACAGATGTTCTGATTTCTTTTTGAATGTGGTCTTCCATTTGCCATTCTAGCAGATAGTATACATTACCTTTTCTGAATGTTGAACTGGCACTGTGGTTATTTAAATCAAAGGCATACTCAGCAGCGAAATTTAAATTAATCCCAGGGTGGGAGAAGACATTTAGAAATAGTAGAAGCTATACAAAATATTTTCATAGTGTATTTGTGTCTAAGGCTAGGTATTTACTGGTTAGTGGGTTTTGTCAGGGATAGTGTGATCTGGTGTAGCGCCTGGCAACTGTAAGCACTCTGTGTTGTTTGAAGGGATGAATGACTACACCAAGCTAAATGCTGGCATCCCACACTAGAGTAGTCTCCACTGTAAAGTCTTCTGCAGCTACTTCAATAGGCATCTTTCAGGAACTGAACGGCAATAATATTTTCAAAGAATAGATCTCTCCGTCATATTTAAGACATCCTTGTATCGTTGGTTTGTGTTTTTCCTGGATGTATAAAAATAATTTAAGGGTTATGAAGATATTTTAAGGAATATGTTCATAACCAAGTGCTGTATTTTTATGAACCATAAGGTCTGCATCTCTTTTCCCTAGGTCTTTATTTTTCATACTATTTAGTATAATGCTCTAAACAAAAGTCCCCTTCTTCCCCTTCAGTCTTCCTCATCAGAGCAGATGACTGTTAAGTTTGGCGTGTATTTTTTTAGAATTTCCTTTATATATGTATAGCTGTCTCCCTAGTTTAGGAACTTATCATTTCATAGTTTTTACAGTGGAGACTACTGTAGTGTGGGATGCCAGCATTTAGCTTGGTGTAGTCATTCATCTATTCAAACAATACAGAGTGTTTACAGTTGCCATCCCCAGCAAAATCCACTAAAGAGTAAATATCCAACTGTATACCAACTATATGCATGTATTTTTACATAAATAGAACCATGCTACTGCTTTTTTCTTTTCACTTAGCAATAGATCTTAAACATCTTGCCATGTTAGTACTTACAAATCTGTTTTACTTTTTAACAGAGTATGCTATTGTTTGGACAGACCACAATTTATCTAGCCATCTGTTAATGAATGTTTAGGTTATTTTCATTTTATTAAAAAAACTCCATTGAACATATATTATACACGGAGTTTTTGTGTGATTATTTCCTTAGGATAAATTTTTTTTAAGGTTTTTTTTTTTTTAAATTTAAGTCCTCTCTACACCCAACGTGGGGCTCGAACTCATGACCCTGAGCTCTAGGGTCGCTTGCTCTTCTGACTGAGTCAGCCAGGCACCCCTAGGATAAATTTTCAAAAGTGGAAAATTTCTGGGTCAAGAGTATGCTCATTTTCATTGCTAAAGTAAAAGCCCAAACTTATAGAGTCCATCTATGTCCAGATGCAGTATAAAACAGGGATCGTGTAGTATAGAAGAAGATCATAAATAACAGCTACCATGTATTAAGTATTTTTTGTGTGTCAAGGAGTAAATGTTAAGTACTTTGTGTATGCTATGTATTTAGTCACTACAGCAACACTGCTTTATAGAAGAGAACCCCAAAGCTTTGGTTTTGGTAATTTCCCCAAGTTACATAGCAAGTACAAGTGGCAGAGCTAGAGTTCAAGTCTAGGTCTCCTGACTCCAGTGGAAAAGGCATTAAGAAAGGAAGATGTGGGGAGTAAGAGGCAGATGGGCCTTCCAGAAGTTTTTTAGGTTTTTGGTTTTTTTTACCAATCCAGAACCAGGCATGATGTTAATAACACTCATATAGCACCTAGAATAGTTCTTAGTACAAAATAAGTGTTTTACATATTTTATTTTATTTAATCTTTAAAAAAAAAACTTTTTTTTTAAGTTTATTTATTTAAGTAATCTCTACCCTTCAATATGGGGCTCAGACTCACAACCCCAAGATCAAGAGTCACATGCCTTCCGACTGAGCCAGCTAGGTGCTCCTTATTTCATTTAATTCTTACAGCAACGTATGAGGTAGGGACTGTTATCATCTCCATTTTGAAAATAAGGAAATGAAGGCATAGAAAAGTTAAGTAATTTTCTCAAGGTCATGGAACTGGTAAGTGGTGGTGCTGGGATTTGAACACAGGTAGCCTAGCCACCAGGCTCATGATCTTCTCTCTGCTGAGCTGCCTAGGTGGATTTAGATTTGGGGAAGGAAGTAATCCTGCCAGTTGAGCCTTCACAGTGTTTATGGTTTTGGTTGTTGTTTAGTTTTTTGTAACATCCCTTTCTTCCCCATAGCCCTTTTGCTCTCTCTAGGTGAAGGATGTATCGCACAGTTTGAGGTGTGGAATCCACCCCACCCCCACTTACTACTAAGAAGTAATCTTCTTAGAACAGTGCTTTTTATAGCATATTATTCTGATTAAGAAATTGGAATGGCTCTTTTAAAAGTTTAAAAACTAAATGGCCCTAAATTGAAAGTTTTCCACATGTAACTCCAATATATCTTTCCTGCCTTCTCTTCCCCTGGTCCTCTTCATAAACCCCTCACTATTCCAGCAAAACTCTCTTGTTCACCCTACCCTGACCATCTCTCTGGCCATCTTCTTCATTTTCCATAGGGATGGAAGTAAGCTTACACCATTTGTAGCCTGGACTGTTGTTGTTAGCCCCTAACCTTGTGGTCCTGCCTCTGTTCTTTATCATATTCCAAACACTTTATACACTGCATACAAAAATATCCTTCTAAAACGAGTAGGAATCACTTCAGAACTCTGCTTATCATCCTTCAGTGGCTCTGAATAATTTTCATCAGTGGTTCTCGATTTGAATGTGCATTAAGAATCCCTTCTTACTTGCTAAAAAGGTAGATTCCAGGTCACATTCTGATTAATTTGTTAGGTGTGACAAGGGATCTGGGGCTGTGTTGGTTGTTTTTTTGTTTGTTTTTTAAAGATTTATTTATTTGAGGGAGAGAGAGAAAGAGTGCACACACGAGCAGGGGCAGGGGGCAGAAGGAGAGGGAGAAGTAGACTCCCCACTGAGCAGGGAGCCCAGACTCGGGGCTTGATCCCAGCACCCCGGGACCATGACCTGAGTCAAAGGCTGATGCTTAACTGACTGAGTCACCCAGGCGCCCTGGGACTGTGTTTCAAGAAGCCTGTAGCTCCATGTGTCTTAACTTATTTGACTGTGACTCACAGAAGAAACAGATCTTATTTCTCCACTCAATACATATATAGGCATACATACATACATAGATAAAAACACTATTCTTACTACATGCAGTATACTCTTTTATAGCTATGACTTTGCATTCCATTTCTTCCCCCCCTTTTTTAAGAAAATGCTTATCCAACCCACCAAATTAGTTTTATGACTGAGCAGTGGGTCCCAAATTCTTACTACATGGAATATGTTCTCTACGCTATTCCATTCTTCCATTCTTTTCCATTCCATTTCCTACTCTCTCTCTCTTTTTTTTTTTTAAGAAAATGCTTATCTACATGCACTTCTATGTTTATAGCAGCATTATTTACAATAGCCAAGATATGGAGGCAGCCTAAGTGTCCGTCAACTGATGAATGGATAAGGATATATGTGTATATATGTATTTACACACACAATGAAATGTTATTCAGCCATAAAAAGAATAAAATCTTGCCATTTGCAACGACATGGATGGAGCTAGAGAGTATTATTAAGTGAAATAAGTCAGTCAGAGAAAGACCAATACTATATGATTTTACTCACATGTGGAATTTAGGGAACAAAACAAATGAGCAAAGGGAAAAACAGAGACAAACTAAGAAACAGACTCAACTCTAGAGAACAAACGGATGGTTACCAGAGGGGGGGTACTTGGGGGGAGGGTGAAATAAGTGATGGGGATTAAGGAGTGCACTTGTGATGAGCACCAGGTGATGTATGGAATTGTTGAATCACTATATGGTACACTTGAAACTAACATAGTGCACTGTATGTTAACTAACTGGAATTAAAATTAAAGAAAAAAGAAAATGCTTATCCAACCACCAAATTAATTTTATGACCAGTGTGGGTCCCAAACTACAATTTGAAAATCTCTGCCCTAGATGATTCTGATGCAAGTGATCCATGGGCCACACTTTGAGCAACTCTGAACTACTTGCTAGATTCAACTTCTCAATCTTGGCACTCAAAGCCCTTCATAATCCAGTCTTTGCTTTCCATTCCATCTTCACCTCTAGTTTGCATCCTCTGCCTCGACTTCCTGTCCCTCCTTCCCCTAATACTGAGTGCACACATATGTGCTTTGTTTTTGCCATCTGAACCATTTTGCCATGTTAGAAGAGCCACATTTTTTTTTGCTACTCAGCCTTTAAATATATGCAGCTCTCTTACATGGAATATTATGATCTACCTGGTGAATTCTTCCTGCTCAGCCTTCAAGTTTAAGGTCACCTCTTTGAAGCTTTCTGTAACCTTTCCAGACAGAGCAAAGTATCCGGTTTTCACAAAATGTTTTACATATTTCTGATATGATTTGCTATAATTTTGTTTGCATGTTTCTCCTTCAACTGAGTCCTGAGGCTCTGAAGGACTGTCTTCTATGTATCTCTAACACATAGCCTAGTATCTGGCACATGGTAGAGGCTTGATTAAAATTTGTTGAAAGGGTAAATGAACAAATGAATGAGTGAACATGCCTTGTTTGTATTTGTCTACCAAAAATATTCAAGTTGTTTTCCTTACCTGAAATGCCCTGAAAACCTTTTTAGCTCTCTTGAGCCAAAGGTGATATCCTCCTAATTATACCAT